TGTGGTCACTGGTCTGCGAGGACTGGGAGGTCGTCAGCTGTCTGTCCTCCAGTTGTCTGTCATACCACGCAAACAATGTCCGCAAAAGCGATGGCAGACAGTGTTCGGCAACTGATCCGAAAGCTGTCAACAACTGGTCGAATACGGGGTCTTCGCCCCTCTGGAGTGACTTCGAGAGCGGCTTTTCCAACGAATCGTCGCAAAGGATTAAATCGATCTTCTTTTGGGACTCTTTGGCGAACTCTGCGAAGAGTGTCCTTAATATGAATTCTCCGGGTTTTGGATCAGACTTCATGTCAGACTTCACGTCACATCTCATTTCACACTCAATGTCTTGAGTCCTAACTTCGTGCGCATCGACACAACCGAGACCTTCAGCACTGGTCTCGTCACTCATGGCTGACACTCATTGTCTCATTGGATTCAATGGGTTGAAGACATCCTGTAATCATAACTCAAATACAAAGCAAAATGTTTGCAAACGATATGACAGTCAGAGTCAGAGTCAGAGTCAGAGTCTGTTTGTCTGTCAGACACTCACATCAATGCAAACAAACGTATATTTATAGTGAATATGCAGTGAAAGCACGACTCGATTCATACGACACCTGACGACAGCTCCGTAAGAGTCGTACAAAAGCTATGCTTTCAAACAAATATAGAGTGAATGTGGCGCTCAAGTAGTGGACATGTATTGCACTTGTATTGCAATAGTGTTGCAATACCTTTCAGTGCCGGACTGACTCCCCTTCAAATCACATGTTATTTACTTGACTTTTGACAGTTTGCTTGCATTTAATTGTCATTTGCTTTTGCATTGATTTTGCATTGATTTGACATTATTTGGCAAATAGAGAGTGAATACAGTTATGCAAAACATATCGAAATACTCAAACATACAGTCATTTGGATCTCATGTGAGGAATGGCTTCAAAAACTTTTCAATTAATCAGAAACTCAGGAATTTGTATGACTGGCATCTAATTTCATGTCATTCACGGCCACACGGTCTAAACAGGAAATACAATATTGGTTTTGTAGGAATTAATATGCAAAATTATAATTGGTATATTATGTATTAGCAACAATTTATTTAATAACTCCTAACTCTTCTCTCTCTCTTTCTCTCTCTCTCTCTCTCTCCTAATCCCTTAATTAAGAAAATCTAATCTCAACCCTTTTGCCAAACCTTTTATAATAGAAAACTGCATAAAAATAGTTGTTACTAATAACTAGAATTCCTATATTCTGTAATAAATCTGTCATAAATTATTATTACGCAAATACTGTATATTATTTCATCAATTTATACAGCATCACCAAATTATTATTTACAGGTATTATAGAATGCACAACATTAATGAGTTTTATTAATGAGGTGACATACTGTATCATGCTCATTTGAAACAATCCAAACTTGTAAGGTTATACCTTCAATATTGAATTCTGTTCATTTATATTACTGGTGCATTCAAAATTCAAAGAATTCTGTAATACAGTAGTATAGTATAGTATAAGTTAGTACACAACTGGAATACACCACTACTCTGTGTTTGTGTCAGTTTACTACGGTAGCACAATATATACAACTAAAATTCAATAATCTGTTTAGATGTTTGGACTCATAAATAAAACATTTCAATAATAACTAAAATGGGATTGAATTTATTGATTGTTTAGAGTCTAGATTTGGACAATTACATATAAATTAATTATTAACACAGTATAAAGTAATTTACAGGTAATTATATTCTTGTCTAATATATATATATGAATTCTTATATAATATATATATTATTCTAATACATTAATAGAATATTTCAATAAATCAATTATTTATTTTTAACACAAAATTATATACTGTATATATACGGTAATAAAAATCATGCAAATAAGTGAAGCAAAATATAGGCAACACTTGGATCTAATTAGTGAGCGAATGGTTATCCAAATCTAGTGAATGGAGAGTCGACGACAACTGGAGACTGGTGTCCATGAGTTGACGGGTGATTTCTGCGGGATTGTGTTCGGGCTCTGTTATCACCAAATAATAAGTTCTCGATTCGCATAATATATTGCAATAAACGGATAGAACTATATTTATGTCGTCGTCTTCATTGATCCCAAAACAAGAGAAACCTTGGATTCAATTCAAAACAGTTAGTGTCCAGCAATCAAACAAATCAAACACAATCAATGCAAACCTGGAAATTGAGCCCTAATTTGGTGCAAAACTTTAATTGCTTTAACGAATTGGTGAGAAACGACTAATTCTCGCAAATGTGTCTCAAAGTCACTTAAGGCGTTGTGATCTAATGAAGGACTCGATTCCGGTTGCGGTGAAGACGAAGTCGACTGACGATCGCTTTCTGTGTCTTCGACTGATTTCATTAAATCACTCTTAACTGCAGTCACTTCTTGGGATAAATTCGAGACCTAAAGAGACATTCATTTATATAACAATCTTATAATACCTCAAAACAGTTCTGTTAAGACATACCAAAAATACAGAGCACTGACTGGTGTTAGACCTCAACAGAGATATTAATTTCAAATAACTCTCAATGAGAAGCATTAGTTGGAAATGCATTTTGTATAAACATTTACACAAATCAGTTCTAATGTCAACCACATTGGATTCAGCGATCGCTTCCAACTTCTGGCAACTCCTGATAGTATCGAGACATTCGAGCAGATGGTCCTTCTTTTCATTGAAGGTCTCCCAGTGCTCCTGCACTTCAAGTACTCCCAAACGATGTCTTTCCAAGAGTTGCGGGATTGCTATGAAAAGGGATGAATCGACGAAAACAAATGGAAACTCGATTTGAGAGCCAATTATATCCAATAAATTAAGGAAACGTGAAGTAATGGCTCGAAACTGTTCGGAAGAATGTGGTAACAGTTCACATGACTCGCGAGTCAAATGAATGACTTTTTTGAAGGTCTCGTTAAAAATACGAGAAAGCAATTGATAGGTCTGTGAGGAAACGTTACCAGAAGTGTCATTCATTACAAGACTGAAGTGTGAATTCCATTGATCTTCGATATCAGTTGAGAGACATTGACTTTGGATGACGTGCGGAGATATACTATTAGAGGCGGAAGTATTGCTGAGAGTGAGGTCTCCCTCACTGCCCAAACTGTGTGACGAACTGCGCGACAGATTACTCGCCGGTCGGTGTCTATCAGAGTCGAGAAGTGGCAAAGCGTTTGGCAGAAACATAGAACCAGATTGTAGTGTCATATCGGATGAGATGTCATATAGAGGTGAACCACTCTCTGCCTCTTCATCCGATGATAACTCATCTTTTCGTAGACTAGATATGGAACCGACAGCTCTGAGCGGACTATTCATTTTGACGTCACCGTCCGTTGTGTCCAAACTAGTGAGAGAGCGCCGTCTGACACCCCAATTGAAATTATCCAAACTCTCGCCCTCTTGGCTCTCGAGTTCATACTCCAGAAAATCAAAGTCTTTAAACAAAGCAAACTCTCCGTGAGTTGCGTCCTCTAGTTTGCTGTCACCCGAGGCGTCATTATTTGTGGCCGATATCTCTTCGGTACTGCTGGCCATCGATGACTTGCGATCGACGACATCACTGTTTTGACTAAATATAACGGACGGACTCTTAGGCAATCCGACGCGTTGTCCACAACTGGTCAGTAAACCAATGAGTCGTTCCCTTATACGCGACTGTGAGAGCCACGGACGGCGCCAGTTATTGCTGTTCTCATTGAATGAGTGGTTGTGAGAGAGACTCCGACGCGGAGACGATGTCATCACTTCCTTGTCATCCAACGGCGCCTTTTCATGACTCACTTCACCACTAGTTTCAGAACTGGCCTCCAATTTGGACTCATTATTCTTAATGAGATATTTTCGGCCAACGATTGGAGTTTGGTTTAAGTCGAACGTGAAGTCCATTGTCCGTCCGGGAAGTTCTCGCTTTGAACTGAACTCCGAGTCGGCAAAAGAAGTTCCCGAAGCGATACTAATGCAGTCCACAGAATAAGAGCCACTTTGAGGAAAACTGTTGAAATAAGTGGAGCCTATGTTATAAACGGGAGGAGTGGCTAAAGTGGAGGAACGGGTGACCACGAGTTTCAGTATTTTGAGAGCATCTTTCCATTGCGAGCCCTCTATGTATTTGGTGGCAACTTTCGATATGTCACTGTTTATGGTAGTGTTTGAACTCAAGTCAATGTAATGAAGCATACAGTGAAGTATTGACAGAATGTGTGTCAACAGAATTGGCGGACCCTTTTCCGCCACCTATTAGAGCCATACATTTGAGATAAGAGTGAATCAATTGAATAAATGCATTGTAGTTATCATAACAATACCTCAACAAGAAAAGAGACTAAATTGAGAAAAGTGTGCGAATAGGCGTCGTATAAGTATTTGACAACACATTTAGTCCACTGAAGGTTCTCTTTGCTGAATGATCTCCTGCTGTATAGCATCATAACAGTCGCCAAATTGTCGAGTTTTTTCGATTTTTCTGTACACCAAAGGGCTATGTTTTCGGCCGCCTTTGTATTTATTAATTGTATTAAACATTATGTCATTTAACAAATGGTATGAATAAAGACGACTTACTTGAGTGCAGAGAGAGTTTGGTTCGTCATAATTGAGCAGAAGATAAGGCAATTGAGACATAATATGATAGGGGAAAGAATTGGCCGATTCTGACGGATCGATAACATTGACTTCAAGCAAAGGAGTCATTTTGTGCAACAAATTCATTGTGGGCTCGTATGTGATCGGAGACGTACAGCCCTTCAACAGTAAGGAGTGAACGCCGGGGAACTGATTCCACTTCATTTGCATAAATATCTTTTCAACCTTTTCTTGAGAATCACTTTTATCTAAACCCAATTTGAAGAGAAGTTTGTCGAACAGACGTAATGCCAGAAGGAATTCGTGTTCGTAATCGGTTTCAAGCATTACGACTGCTATCCAAAAGAATTGGGCCAACAGTGAGGTCTTGTCCTCAATAGTCATGTATTGCTGCTCTTCTAATGTCTTCAATGACTGAGCACTTCTCGATCGACCCAATGATGTGTTGTTAACACCGACTGAACTCCGAAGAGTGTCTGAGTCTGTATTAGTTCTGCTCCGCATTTCTTTCACCTCAGAATGAGTCGATTCTGTCATCACTTTTCTCGTGGGATATGAGACAGAATAAGAAGTGCTTCTCATGTGAGTTGACATTTGGTGTCGCATTAAAGGCACGGATGAGACACAAGTCGGCAAACTATTTGAGACAACGGTAGACGAACTACTGATGGAAGTGCAAGTCGTGCCCACCGGTGCACTCTGTCTCTTGGCGTTGTCTTTAGTATTCAAATTTGGTGTCGATTTGAAAAACTCTCGAACGAGTTCTCCGAAGAGTCGGGGATCGGAATCAAGTGAATCAACGGCTGCTTCTAAAGTAAGCATAAGTTCCGTGACGTAGCCCTGCATGTCCTCCCCCTGTTCCGACACAGTCTCCACTAAACGGGACAGTATGTCAGACAACATCCGGGAATTCAAAGGCATTCTCAGTGCACGGAATATCTGAAGAGAACGGCCCGCGTAGTGACGGGACGAACACGAGAGCGCCAACTGAAGCGATATCTCAGACCAACGCTCTTCGATCTTAGCGGACGGCAGAGACTCTTTGAATACATATAAGATGTGTTCAATAAAATGCGACAATTGATCCGCAGATCGTATTGACCACACTTTGGCAGTGATGTCCTCATAATTCCAAAGCGGAACTCCTCTTTTCGATGAAATAAATTCAATCAAACATTTGATAAGCGTTTCGAGAGAGTGAAGCGATTTAGTGTCTCCAACAGTAATCTCTTCTGTTGTTTCCGATTCCTTTTCATTCGAGTCTTCAGTTGGTTTCACCTGATTCTTGTCCTTTGGTAGCAATAAACCCGAGAAAACGGATCGATTTTTATTGCGCCCTAAACTGCTTTGACGGGAACTACCGTTTGAGTTGGAATTAAAAGTCTTAGCATTTGGGGGGTCTATGAAGTTGGGCATTGGATTGGCGGTGTTGGTGGCAATGGTTAACCCATAGCCTAACTGTTGCGTCCGTGTGTTGAGTAAAATTCTGGCCACATTCAAGTGATCGTTATGTCGAGTCATAACTATTAATAAGTTTAGCAGTAATTGTTTGCAGTGTTCGTGAACTAAAGATCGGTTGTGATCTAAGCCGAGAAATATAATGTGAAGCATGAGTGGGATGTGTGGCGTCCAGTCTAACGCTATGCCATCAATGACCAGATCTGAAAGCAGCATAAGTGCCAAATTGCAGCGATGAAAGCCTACCACAGGCTGTCCAGTAGTGGGCAGGAACTCAGTCAACGGCGCGTAATAACCGCCAAACTCCGGCATTGGCAGAGGTCTCGGCTGCGGTGTCATTGGTTTCTGGAAGCGACTCGCCGTGAAATGATCGCCAATAAATTGGTCCTCATTTCTGCAGCAAATGTCCAATTTATTCAAATTGTCTTTAATAGAGAGACAATTATCATAACAACAATAGCGTTCATTAATTCCTTCGGCAGCGCTATGTCTTTTGGTGTGAAGAGTTCCCGATTCGCTGAATGTTATGAGATTGGAGTTTCCGCCGTCAGAGTTGCCATTAGAGCCACCGTTCACACAGCCATCCTCTGAATGTCCGCTCCCTTTCCTAATACTTGTTATACGGAAAAAAGGCGGCGCTTCTGTGCGTTCAGTCAAACAATTTAAAGATTCAACGGTTTGTAATTCAGACATTAATTCGTCGATTAGACGCTCAGCTTTTGAATGCGACAAATAGATGACAACTCGTTTGGCTGATGGCAGCAAATCATTAGCCAAACCCGTCAATATAAACAGGTATCTGATTATGATTCGCAAATTGTTGGGCCAATAGGCACACAAAGCAGACCACACATCCTCTATCTCTTTGGGATAGTTATCGCCAAATTTCACAGTAATGTAGAATAAGTTGTTTAATACCATTTCCGACGCTTCCGCTGAACCCCAGCCCTCTTTGGCGAACTCGTTGTCTATATTTAAATCATTTGATTCCGAATAAGCGGTGAATGGGTTTTGCAATGGTGTTATGTTAGGGTCGACCAGTTCTATGTTATAAAGCCATGGAATCAAGTATTGCAAAAGGTTCTGGCAAACCGTTGGTTTAGCTGTTTGGAACCGGTATGTAATCTCAGAAAAGACAGGCATTGATAGTTGTGGATGGAAGTGAGCCATACGTCGAGAAATCTCTAACTGAGAGCACGGGTAGACATTTGAAAGTAACGGTTCATAACTGTTCACATATTTTGTAGGCTTTCTTCTCAAATGAATTTCAGAAACGTCTGAAAATGGATTATCAAAATCATATTCATTGATCACTACATTTTCTTCGAGACATTCCTTATCGTCGTTATTCATGTGTCGATATTCTTCACTCAATATATCATTAGTTTTAGACCCAAAGAAGCGATTGTCCAGAATTTGTAACAAATGCAAAGCGAGCTGATGTATAGGGGCTCGCGGGCACCCGATGTTCATTAGAGTCGCATTTATTATAGCAATATAATGATCGCACGGGTACTCACGGGCAGAGAATATCGTAGCGATTGCTTTGAAACAACCGTCGGAAACGTTGGTATCCTTAGTATAGCACGAGTCGACCAACCAGTCCAACAGAGAACCCACGTCTGTGTTATACTCCAGCAGAAGGACTATAGTCTCCAACGCAAGTTCTGTCACTTTCTCTTGTCTTTCACTCAGCAAATGGTTGAGCCATACATAGAGATTGCTCTCATCGAAGAGACACTGGGGGTCGAAGATAGAGCCGCAACACAACACCGATGACATCGCTGAGAGGGACAGGTATTCCAATTCACTGATTGGCTTCAGAGGGTCGTTGTAATTGTGTTGCTTATAATTGATGAACACATGATTACCATAATCTCCACTCCAAGAGGCGAACAAATAAAACAGATTTCTTCTCAATTCACGGCTTAATAGATTCGATCGATTCTCAATCGGAAAGCTTTTGATTAATCGGTAAATAAATGAACAGAAAGAGTGTTTGATGTCATGAACGAGTGAATTGGAGTCCTTATCAGTTTCAGACTCTAAGTAGAGTCGGGCGCCATCGATGTACTCAACGAATGTATTGCTAAGAGTGCCGGCGTCACGATCTATCACACATTGGCTTAAACCCAGAATATTTCGGTCAGAAATCAGTTTCAGAAGTCTTCCGATTTGAATCCTCAACATCTCTCGTCTCTTACGACGCCTTAGATTCTCTTGTTTTCGATCGAAAGCTTCTCTAATATACGGCACGAGTTCTTCCATGAGTTCTTTAAACACAAATTGGTTGACATGAGAGACACCCAAAGCGACAGCATTTCTTAAATCGTTTTGTTCGCTCCGCAAAAGTGGAATAATTTGTTTGAAAAGGCTTTGAGCGCTCACTCCTCTGTTCATTGGAGATCTGTTTTCTACTGATCTCTCAGATGACAGACTGTCCGGAGAGGCACAGCTCTCGTGTGGTATGTATCGAATAGTAGCCAAACAATTGGTAAGGTTTGCCGGTGCGATACGGCACGCGTACATCAAATAGTTTTTCCAAAGCTCTAAATAAAAGTCGCGTTCTGTCGAAGACTTTTTCACTGTAGAAGTGGTTCCTCTTAACAAAGCTGTGGCCCTGTTGTCACTGACGGGATTCGGATCTAAGTGTGTGAACAGTGTATTTAAACGATGGCATATCAATGGCCACGAGAGAGATACAACAGATGGACAACATTTGATCACTTCGTCGATTAATGCCATGAAACACACCGACCAGGCATTCATCTTGGATTCCGAATCAATTTGTGTGTCACTGTTGTCCACCTTATTGTTTGACTCGTTGTCCACTTCATTCTGTCCCGAAACCCAAGCACTTCCACTCCGTTCGGCCAACCAATGGAGGTCCACATTCATTGACACCGTAATTATACTTGACTTCTCACTGGATGGCAGATAAGGAAAGCATAATTCGACCACTTGTGGGCACATTCTGTCCATCACTGAAGCGACCGCTTCATCACATTCTTTGCTCACAAATAATAATTTTAATAATATTTTAATCTCTTTGAGAATATGTGCAGCAATTCGACGAACGGGTTGACGACAATAACAGAGCATCACTAATGCCAGTGCCTCGACGTTATGCAATACATTAGACAAGTGTTCGTTTTTGGTGGGACCCACACCCACACCAACACCAACACCCGGTTCCGAACAGTTTTGGTCTTTACTATGATTACCATTATTATTATTAGTGGTCTGAAGCGCGTGCTTCCAACTCGTCAACAGTTGTAATAACATTCTCAACGAATTGTCGATTAAAGTGGGAAACGAGTCATTGATCTCATGTAAGAGAAAGTGAATAAACCCTTCGATGACATCCTCGCGCCAGTCGGGGAAGTCTACGATCATATTCTGCAGCGATTGAAAAGCCAAACCTTTCATCTCTTCATCCATATGTACCGTAAGTCTGGCCAAAAGGTCCACTAAATCTTGTTTAGACATACCGTCGGGGATAAGGCGCGGAACCGCTGCGACACACGTACGGAATAAATCAATTTTGGGTTTACGCTCTCCCGTTATCATATCATCGGGTTCTTTGTTCATATTTTGGACAGTTGTCATCATTAAGGGACGACCGAACTGGACATCAAGGGCTCGCAGAATATCACTCAATGTTTTCCTGACATATGGGTAATAGTGATTCATTCCTATAGTTCTTGCCATCTCTTCGGTAAGCATTTTGTTTAGGAATGTCTTCTTTACGCGCAATGTATTACCAGATGGAAGGACACCCACTGTTCTGGGCATCGGTGGCTCCCCGTCCTATACATACATAGAGAGACACAACTGTTAAGAACCGGTAAAATATTTAAAGAAATTACTTTTTGTTGGAGACTATCGGCGACCACCAGAAAAGATCGCAAACCAATGGACATCCTTTCGGGCGTCAAAATGATTTTAATGGATCGGCCGACTGATAGCAAATCAAAGACTATCTCTTTCATCGCAAAGTCAAGTCTTTCCTGAGCTATGAATTGAATAATTTTGACAAAAATATTAAGCGGTGTATCTCTGGGCACAACAGCTTTGGATCCCTTGGGGAACAGGGAGTTGACAATACTGTGGAGTCGGCTCTGAGTGGCGGTATTGCTCTCGCATTTGATGCGAATCATGTAAACCCATAACAATCGATACAACGATTCCAAAGCTACTCTACACATCTTCGGGTCTCTATTCTTGAGGTGTTGTAAACACATCGCCAGAAAGTAGTGCCAATTCATGAGGAAAAATGTCTTTTGACTGACACACAGGAGACAAGTGACGAGTGGGAAGAGCGCTAAACTGTGTTTCTTTTTGGTGCATAAGTCCAAAGTCGGCGGATATAACATCTCAACGAAGTTCTTAAGGCACGGGACGTTCACTTCATTCTTGACAGTGGCGGCCACTGGCACCAGGATCTCGACGAACAGTCCGGCCAACGCGTGCTTTATGTCCTTGTCTTTGACTTCGAGGAAATATTGGGCGCATTCGTGCATAAACTGAAACGAGGCCTCAAACTCCTCGATCGGAACCATTTTGATGCGAAAGAACTTCATTCCCATTAATAGACTGATAATACTATGAGTGGTGATAGGATTGGGCTCTTTGTTCCGCAACTCTTTAAACTCATTCATAAACCTCTTGCGGACGGATTGGAAGCGCGAGTGAGTCAACACTCCAATCACTTCCGCATAGAGATCTGCAATCATATTAATGTTCTGCAGATTCGGGTCGTTCTGCGCCTCTTCGCGGAACCGGAAGTGCTTGAAAGCCAACACTTCGATGTGATTCGTGAGCTCTTCATATCCGGGATGTAATGACAACTGTTTCAACACTTCGATCAAAACCAAACAGAAGATGAACTCAACGGCCAAATCCCTCTTCTCGAGGAGGAAGAACTGTTCCGCCCTTTCGATGCTTTCACTGTTCGTTAGATTCTTTGCCGTCGCCTTCGACTGCGAGTCAGACAGCGATTTGACACTCTTGTGGTCACTGGTCTGCGAGGACTGGGAGGTCGTCAGCTGTCTGTCCTCCAGTTGTCTGTCATACCACGCAAACAATGTCCGCAAAAGCGATGGCAGACAGTGTTCGGCAACTGATCCGAAAGCTGTTAACAACTGGTCGAATACGGGGTCTTCGCCCCTCTGGAGTGACTTCGAGAGCGGCTTTTCCAAGGAATCGTCGCAAAGGATTAAATCGATCTTCTTTTGGGACTCTTTGGCGAACTCTGCGAAGAGTGTCCTTAATATGAATTCTCCGGGTTTTGGATCAGACTTCATGTCAGACTTCATGTCACATCTCATTTCACACTCAATGTCTTGAGTCCTTACTTCGTGCGCATCGACACAACCGAGACCTTCAGCACTGGTCTCGTCACTCATGGCTGACACTCATTGTCTCATTGGATTCAATGGGTTGAAGACATACTGTAATCATAACTCAAATACAAAGCTAAATGTTTGCTAACGATATGACAGTCAGAGTGAGAGTCGGTTTGTCTGTCAGACACTCACATCAATGCAAACAAACGTATATTTATAGTGAATATGCAGTGAAAGCACGACTCGATTCATACGACACCTGACGACAGCTCCGTAAGAGTCGTACAAAACCTATGCTTTCAAACAAATATAGAGTGAATGTGGCGCTCAAGTAGTCTCTAATAGTGACATGTATTGCACTTGTATTGCAATAGTGTTGCAATACCTTTCAGTGCCGGACTGACTCCCCTTCAAATCACATGTTATTTACTTGACTTTTGACAGTTTGCTTGCATTTAATTGTCATTTAATTGTCATTTAATTGTCATTTGCTTTTGCATTCATTTGACATTATTTGCCAAATAGAGAGTGAATACAGTTATGCAAAACATATCGAAATACTCAAACATACAGTCATTTGGATCTCATGTGAGGAATGGCTTCAAAAACTTTTCAATTAATCAGAAACTCAGGAATTTGTATGACTTTTACGAAGACTTTATTGGTGTGAAAGAAGTCCGTAAAACACAGGAAGCAGTGCTTAAGGTATGGTTCAAGTGATGGTTACATCCATTATCTGTGATTAATGCGTGAAATGAATTATAGAGTGAATCAGAGTTTGTTGAGTCGACTAAAGCGAGACGTGACGTCCAAAACGATATGATCGGTCTTCAGGAACAACTCAAACACATCCGACACAAATTGGGTCCATTGTCTACACTCTTACCATTTATGATCACCTATTCCTCACTCTCAGACATTTCATTTATGCATAACTACTAACCCATTGTAGACTAACTGAATGTATGATTGATTTGATGACAGATTCAACGCGGCGGAGTGATGAGTCGTATCTGACCCTGATCACATCAGAGCATCAGTTAATCAAAAACGAGATCCAATTGATTGATTCACTTCGAAGAATAGAACAAACGGAAAGACACTTGTTTTCAGAGTTTTCCAACAAATTGAGAGACGCTCACGAGGTATACATCTCCTGCCAGACCTCGCATCTAAAATCTAATGCCTTTGCGATGTGTGGTCTGCGCCGACATTGACTGCTGTCATAACTCACTAATCTTATGGTCTAATGAAAAGGTGGAACGACTTCGACAGGAGAAGACAAAGTACTTATCAATGTTGGGCACAATAATCGGGGCGTGTCTTGGGATCATAGCCACGAGTATTAACCACGCGTTCAAACGAAGAGATTTCAGAGAATTGGCGCAAATGATTGAACTCTCAAACAGCCATAAACTCGAAACCAATCCTTCAGTATCTCAAGTGTTTACAGAAGAAAACGCTGTAAAGACCACAGATTTGGTGAACAAGACATCGACTGAAACGCAGACAGATATCAGAAATGACGATAAAATCGTTGAAATCATTTCAAATACTGAATCTAATTTAGAGTACAAAATGAAAGTGAATAGTTTAACAACAGTTGTGGCCACTTATGCACTCATTGCCATCACTTTGCCTATAATTTTACGTCTTATAGGCGATTGATAGCTAATAAACTAATAGCAAATTAAATATGTTATCATTTTGTAATTAGTTTTATTAAAAATCCAAAGGAATATCTACTAAAATAAGCTCTTTTTATAATCATTCATATTGTAAGGTATGAATGGATGACACCAGCAATCAATGGCTCTGAAGGATAGGAGGCAACCGATGGCTGACTATAATATTGTGTTTGAACTGTTGTCTGATATGATTGACAAATCCATACTTATATAAAACGAGTCCATTTCCAAAGCGGTTTATATACGACGAGTATTGGTTGCGATAATACTTGGAGTGACACAACTCGGACGCGAACATTGATTTGCATTCAATCCAATTGATGACCACAATCTCATAGTCACTCTCATCACTAGTTTCCATCAGTTGCGGCAACTTTTGGTCAAAATAATGGTTTGTTTTAATCAAACAGATGTCCGAACTATTGGTTTTGGAAATCTTGACAATAAGCGGTAAATTGAGTTTGAAATCTGGCTAAAGTTTGAAATGGACAAGGTTAGTTAGTTAACATAAGATATCAACCAAATTAATTGCAAACCCCTTATAGCCTAACGTACCGTCACGTCGAAGCTGTCTGTCCTCAACTGGGATTCACTCATATATGAGACGTCGTGTCGGTTCAGGTGGTGACTCACCTCCGACTCGAAGACAATCCCCGTATTGTTTGTCATGTGATTGCAATGATTGCCGAAAATAATGTCATTTACGTTACACAGCATTACATCGAAAGCAAGTCTGCCATCACTTATAAGACTGGTATTAGTGGACAACGTTTTGCACAGATTTTTATCATAATTGTTGTGGTGTTGAAGAATGTGTTGACACGCGATGGCATAACTCATGTGATTGTCTTCGCACAAAGCAATCAAACTTTTGTCGCGTTTGTAGTAATGGTGTAAAAGTGAATCCAAATTTGGTATGAATTTGGGCACCAATTGCTTGATCTCACACTTGAACTCATATGCAATGAGACTGTAGACCACACTCTCCCTCCACTTCGCACACATCTTCTCGCCCTCCTCTGCACCATCGCTTCCATACCATTGGATCAAGTGATCCAAAATGGATCGCAAATCCATGCCATATATTCGCCGCAGATTTCGGTATTTGATGATAAACTCATTGAAATGTTGTCTTTTCATTTCAGTCATGTCTGCAGTGCTGTAGTCGTCCACCAAATCAACACAAATGGCAATACATTTGCAAAACAGCGCCAAAACCATAAAACAGCTGTTTTTCACTAATCACTCAACACTGCATACAATGTACAGCACTCTCATCACTGCATACATTCACATCATTTGCATTGCATTCACTTATACTACAGTACTATAACTCATGCATTCATACCATTTAATGATTTCAATAATTACTGAAATATGTATTCATTACGAGTGAATCAATTGGTATGAATGGGTCGCACACTATACACATCACAAACTGTACTAAACATTGAACTTTTTGTGAGGGCAGAGATTCAAGGATTACATGGCATAGAGCTGTTCACAAACGACATGTCAATGTTATGAGAGGGTAGTGGTTCGCACTTGAATGGCATTTGCATGGAAGGGGTGGTTGTGGTGTGCAATAGGGGTGACGTGTGTTATGACTGGCATCTCATATGACACCAATCAGTGATGTATTGAACAAAAGAGTGAACTCCAGTCACTGTTTGTCCGTTTGTATGGTTTGTAGTGAATGTATGAATGATAGTATAGTATAGTAAACGGGTTTAGTATTACTCAACACTATTTACAAATCATATGACGTTTTAGTTTTAAAGTTTACACAAAGTTTGTGTCCAAATAAGTGACATTTAAACCCGATTTTCTAAATTACATGTTATTTCCAGTGATTTGTGTGTCAATTGGACCAAAATATTGCTCTTACAGTGCATTTGAAGCGACGATTCACTGAATCCATGGTTTGTTGTGTTTGGCGTAACTGTAAGCCAGCAATGGATTGATTGGTATTCACTTGTATTGACACTAATATTGTTACGAAATGTACGCAAAGATTATAATTAAATCGTTTAGTGTTTGCCATCAAAGCTGAAGAGATGTGCAAAAAGTGTGAAATAATAGACACGACTCGAGAAACCCATAACAACTCATTGGGAAGGGTTTGCAGTGATATTGGGGTCAAGTCTGGAGACATGACCTCCAAGGCTAAGAAACGGGGTTTCGATGCCATCGACAACAACCGATTCACCGAAGCGTTCACCGAATGGGAAGGAATCAAAAGGCGAAGAATTTGTCCGCAAAATGTGGTGATCCGTCTGTTGAGACGGGAAGTGAGCTTTGGTGGCACCGGGAGGACAGGCAGGTGTAGTGTGCGGGCACTCCACCAGAACATAGCGCCCAACTTCACGGTCGTGAACATCGAGAAACCCAATTGTTTTCTCCGAAAGTTCACTCCCGACGGACGCTTCCTATTGGCCTTCAGTGCCGACCAAACCTGTATAGAGATCTACCAATACATGGGTCCGTCCGCCGCCTCACACCTCTTGAAGGACATCCCGTCTTCTCAAGAATTCACTTGCAATGGAAACGACGAGCAGTCGGTGCGACTCAAGAGCAAAGTCTTCGAGACCTTCTTCAAGTTGCGACACGTGGTGACGGTTACCACGAATGGCGAGCAATTGAATCGCGAGTGCAGTCTCTTCACAGACGACAGCCGTTATGTGATCGTCGGTTCTGCGGCTTTCGTTGCGGACGAAGTGCCGCCAATTTATTTCGATATCTATCGCAACAACGAATCCGTGTCTCCGAACGCCAGATCACCGCTCGAAGACTACTCTTTGCATTTGGTGGACATCATTAGTGGCAGAGTTTGTGATAAACGAGTGTTCAAAACGGATAAAATATTTTTATCCCATAATCAGGGGATCTATTTATACGACAACACTCTAGCGGTGCTATCAGTCCAACACCAGACCATTCATGTGTTCCATATATCAAAAGAGGGCCAATTCATTGACGCCAAAAGCATCGGTAGGTTTTGTCACGAAGATGACGAGTTTCTGGTCTCATCGGCGATGGCCAGCGAACGCTCGGCCTCTACTGGTCGGCACCAGACACCTGTCCGACCCTTTCGTGAAGTCACTATTAATGCACTCAAACATCGATTAATGGTTTTCCTGTACAGGAAAGCAGAACTCGAGAGTCAATTAAAAGGCAATTATTTGCCGATCAGAAGGTTTTACCAGAATTTCGATCAATTTTGTTCGCTTAGGGTTTGGAAAATGCAATTATTAGACGAAAACCATTTACTATTGAAGTACGCGAGTGAAGAAGTGATTACTTCCCGATTAAATGATATCAATAGTTCGCCATCTCTTTTTGTGGTCTACAATATGATCACCAGTTGTGTGATCGCAGTCTTCGAGAACACATCCGAAGAGTTGCTGCAACTGTTTGAGAGTTTTTGTGATTTGTATCGCAACTGTTCCCTCCGAAGTCCCGCACAACTCATTTGTTCGCCTTCTAATAACATTCATTCCAGACTTCTTCAGCAGAGGTTCAAACAAACCATAATCAATGCCAGGAATGGTGGACACACTGAGGCTATTAGACGACTATTGGCTCAGTTGCCTATTAGCGCACAATCCTATACCTGCAGGTAATATATACTACAGATGTTAATAGCCGTGAACTAATGATCACATGACTGTCCGATAGCCCATATCTGGATCTATCGCTCTTCAGTTATGACGACAAATGGATTTCAGTGATGGAAAGACCCAAAGCATGTGGTGATCATCCGATTCGCTTCTACGCCCGGGACTCAGGAATTCTTAGGTTTATATTATTTGCCGATCAGAAGGTTTTACCAGAATTTCGATCAATTTTGTTCGCTTAGGGTTTGGAAAATGCAATTATTAGACGAAAACCATTTACTATTGAAGTACGCGAGTGAAGAAGTGATTACTTCGCGATTAAATGACATCAATAGTTCGCCATCTCTTTTTGTGGTCTACAATATGATCACCAGTTGTGTGATCGCAGTCTTCGAGAACACGTCCGAAGAGTTGCTGCAACTGTTTGAGAGTTTTTGTGATTTGTATCGCAACTGTTCCCTCCGAAGTCCGGCACAACTCATTTGTTCGCCTTCTAATAACATTCATTCCAGACTTCTTCAGCAGAGGTTCAAACAAACCATAATCAATGCCAGAAATGGTGGACACACTGAGGCTATTAGACGACTATTGGCTCAGTTGCCTATTAGCGCACAATCCTATACCTGCAGGTAATATATACTACAGATGTTAATAGCCGTGAACTGATGATCACATGACTGTCCGACAGCCCATATCTGGATCTATCGCTCTTCAGTTATGACGACAAATGGATTTCAGTGATGGAAAGACCCAAAGCATGTGGTGATCATCCGATTCGCTTCTACGCCCGGGACTCAGGAATTCTTAGGTTTAAAATATATGCCGGCCTTCAAAACAGAACATCCGGTTCAGTGGGACGAAGACTCGTTGCGTTTACTTTGCATCCAACGGATCCACTATTGATTAGCGTTCAACGAACTAATACTGAATATGTAGTCAATTTACATGTCAGACACTCCAACCCAATATAACATAGACTACTACCGTATCATAGTTTGCTAACTTATATATTAATCCCAAATTCCGTATATACAGTACAATGTAATTACTATATATATATTAAAATTATATTAAAATTAAATTTAATAGATGTTAATTCTATTGTTTATAGTTTTATTCATAAATATAATTATAATTCGATAATTGATATCATTGTAAATAAATTCATTAAACAATTATAAGCTTTGATTGAGAATTATTTGAACAGCAATTGATATAAGATTTGAAATTTAATAATTATTTAATCACAATGAGGCTTACAATCATTTTATCATTTATATATTGCTTTATCATATAATTGAATTCAAACAAAACTATTATAATAACAGTTAGTCAACAGTTATTTAGAGAACAATTATTGGTTCGACTTTTAGTGTTGATTATAATGTTATTTACTGTAGAATTCAATAATTAATAGAATTAGAAGAGGAAAATAGTTTGAGATATAAATACTGCAATATCTGTATCGTACAGTATTGTGAGGTTTATTAATATTAATTTTAATGATTAGTTATATAACTTATTAAGATTAACAATACGACATTAAATTCAATCCATTTGATAGTACAGTATAATATTTATCATATGTTTCACAGAAGTGTACTGTACTTACAGTTATAGAGATCATCAAAAGGATGGAATAATACTTGTAATCATTTTTCATAAATATTTCATTCAATTAAACATATGTCAGACATTAGACTTATATTGTTGAGTTTAAATCTATACTAACTGTAAGTCCAGTTATTTTAATCAAAATAATTTGTATAACTTTCGGCTTTAAGTCATTTTGATTTTCACTCCGAAAGATAAAAATAAATGTAATTTTCATATAATTAATGAATTGATATAATTAGAGCACCAAATATACTGTATGAATTAAATTTATGATAATCTGATAATTAATGTCTCAAATGCTGAGGAAAATCACACGTTTATATCGATTGCACTGCATTTCTGACGAACAGTTATTTATTAATAGTTTAATATGTTATCAATTGATCGCAAATTATAATAAATCAGTCTTTTATCGCGTAATTCATTTAAAATAAAACTCTTTAAATATAATGTTTCGGATATTTGTCAATTTCAAAACTATTGGAAATGTTGTAAATATAATAAATAAAATTCTTATATTCAAATCATCTAAAAACCAAAATTAAACAATTAGTCAAAAGTGACTTAAATTATAACAATAATTGTTTGAATAACAATTTGGTAATTACTGAGCAAAACAACAGGTCTTTGTGACAAAACTATAGATAATTCAAAACTCAATTATCTTTGGTATGAATGCATTAACTGAATGTCTTAAATGTAATTGAAAAATAGTTAACTTGTGTTGAATGAAATTGAAATTAACTATAATTTACCCAAAAGGGCGACCAATAGACCGATAGAACACATCGAAGGCTAGCATTTAATGGTTAGGCATTTCATATATGTAAAGTTGACTCAATGGCCTATCGGTACCAACACTTGAACGTAACTAATGGGAAATAATCCACTCTTTCCATTGACAGTCCCCTCATACCAGTTGTCGTCGATCTGAGTCTTCAGTTGAATCACATCCCCTTCTCTGAAAGGCAATTCGTTTGCGTTTTCCGGCTCGAAGTCATACAACGCCTGACAGCACGGAGTCCGCGACTCTGGAGATCGGGCTGGAGATCGAACGGGAGAAGGAAGTGGTGAAGCTATAGTTCCCGTCATTACGGACATACAGTTTTTGAGTATAAAAGCAATCATAAGCACAGTTAGAAGAGTTTACAAGAGGACAGGCAGTGAGCTACGAGTACCGTTAGGAGAGCGCATCGTTGAGTTAGCGTTAGTCGTGTCTAAGTATAGATTAGAGGGTTTTGCTGGCGCTTCGGTAGGAGATTCTGTGCCCACAGACACAGTATAGCGTAGGAATGAGACAAGAGTTTAGTTTTAAGTTAGAAACAAATATTAATATAAATATATAAAGGAATTCACGAATAAAGACCAAAACCAACAACCGATTGGATTTGATATGAGAAGTGGTTATCAAAAGAACATTCAAATTAGTGTTAGATTTAAGGCTTAGAAGTTGAGTAAAGCAATGAAAGCAATTGCGATATTAAATGCTAAATATTTATAATATTACTACTGTTACGGTTGTGATGATTGTTGGCAATGGTTTTACCGTTGAGTAAATGAGCGGAAGTGCTAATAGGGTTGTAAAACTGTCCATTAAATTGATTAAAGTCTGGGTAACCATTATATTGTCCGCCGGATTCAGCTCCAGGAGAGATATCGTCGTGACCTAAGCCTTCGCTTAGATTCAATTCATGCAACTTCTTCGGTACATATGGTTCCGGATTCTTATTGGCCGATTCGTTCTTCCTTTGGATCAAACAAAATAAGAAAATGTCATCAAATGATCACATCTTTAGATAACAAACAATTCACTTACTGTTCCATTAATCTGGATGTAAGACTTTCTAAGATGTTGGCGCACTGAGTGTGGTATTCATAGAGGGCTTCAGAAAGAGCTGCGATTTGCGAGACCTGTTCGACATCATTCTGCAAGAGGTTATGCATTCCCATTGACGCCAAATTGAACGACTCCTCGAACTTGTCTTCAGCCAATTTGATCTCATCGACTGTGATATGCGTTCCCTTCACTTTCCTGCGTTTCTTGCAGTCGTAGTCCAGTCGTCTGCCCTCCAGTTTCTTCCGGTGATGCATCACATCCTTCAAGTCCTTGGACTGCATGTGAGTCAACGGTTCCAAAAAGTTTTGTTTGACGTTGTCTTCGAGTGCATACTTTATTTCCGCCATTTCTCGTAAGGCTTCTCCCATTTCATTCAGACTTAGGGCTATAATTAGTCACAATTAACATAACAATTAAATTCATTGTTGAGATCAATGTGAAGAACTAACCAAAGGATGAGTCTTCGCCCAAATCTTTGCCGAATTTACACATACAGTCCCCTAATGTGCCCTCAGGTTGAGGATAACTGTGCGTCTTTGAGCCCTTGATCTTAGAGCTGACCGTAAGCTTTGCGCGCGTGGCTATCCATCGGATAATCAGTTCATTCAGTTGTTAAAAGTGGACACAAATCACACAAATCTTATAATTGGATACATACCAGGATTTGGCTGTAAATACTCTTTTGTCTTGTTTAGCAACTCTTCGACCAATTCATTGGTGAAATCAGTTTTCTATAAGCAATGGAGTGAATGGTGAGCAGTTGGACAGGTAGTAATGGACAGGTAGTGTTGGACAGACCCTTTCCATATGAGTGAACTGATCCGTGAACTTTGTTCCCTCGGCTCCGCCGATCTTTTCGCTCATATACTGTCATATCATATAAGAGACACCAATATATCAATGAGTGGTTACATAAATGGCAAATATATGACTAATATATGTATCAATGGATTCAGTGATTAGCTATCAATAGGTTTAGTGATAATAAGTGATGGTTTGTACAGTAGACCATCTCAGGGTGATATTATGAATACCTGGTTTGCTTTATTCAATTGCTTCCTGAATCCAGCCAAAGCCATGTTGGATGAGTTAACTGTGGTTACAATGATTGCCATTAATGTGTGTTTATATTACGGTTAATATAACTCTAATATATGACTGTATATACTATTCATAATGTAATCGCAATTCATACCAATTACTGAATTCAATTCAAACTGAACACCGATTTGTTGTAAACAAACACAAAGTAATCACAAAATACTTGATTTGATTGAAAACGTTGTAATAAATAATGATTTGATTGATCTGTTTATGAAATACACAAATGGTTAGCAATGATTGCGCGTGTAAATTGTGTTAATTATAACTCATTATAAATAATATAATAATAGAGTGTATAATAGATGTGATAGTAATGCATGTATTTAACTGTAAGTTATATAATAATAGAGTAATAGTAGAGACGATAAGACTTAAGCGTAAGACTCAATGCAACGTACAGTATATCAGGATATATAGAGTGAAAGCCGCGAAGTATTATTCAATTTGTGTTACATTTCTATCCCTTCTTGACATCACTTCACGACAACTCTATCTCTGCTGAAAGTCATTCAGTCGTTATACAGACAAACCCTTTAATACTTTACACAACACTCTGTAGTTGTGTCACCTATTATTGGCTCCAATCACTTGCATCACTAATCATCACTTCATTCATGATTTAATTGCATTTTTAAATTAATATTAAGTTTTGTATATAAAAAGTAGTTAGCTTCAGAGTAAAGGGTGTTATCATTTGACCATGGTTCAGTATAATTCCTGTGTAGTATAGTTCTACATTATTCTGTGCCATTATTCTTATAACTTATCTTTTGATTCAAAACCACGTGAGACTAAATAATTAAATTGATTAGTGATAATACATGTCATACTTTCATATACTATGATATGTACTGTATTTTTGAATTTCTTTAATTTAAGTAATCATTGTATGAACTTCTTATACCTCATACACCACTCCCGTCTAACCCTTAGTTATTTTTGTAACTTTTTATTTTAACAATTCTTATGATACTCGTTAATAAAAAAAATAGTTCACTTTTTAAAATCTGGTTTCATTTATTAGTCCAAACTTGATTTCATCTAATCGTTACTGTGGTGTACAATATCTTTCATATTCATCCTGTCATACAGTATTTCATCAAGGTGTCTATTCGTTTACCTTTTAGACTAATTAATGTTTGTAAATGACCAAGTAACTCTTTTATTCTGGAAGAATTGTGTCAGTAATCTGTCAAATATTAGGATATTTTATAGTGAAATAGAGTATTTTGCAAAAGTTTGATGTGTCCAGGTGATTCATTGAAATTAAGCTTAATTTTTATATAAAATATAAACTAGAACTATACAATATACTAATTATATTTAAGACTAAATAGTCAAGTATTACATTAATTGATATAAATATAACAAAAGTGTTGGAATCAAACAACAGATAATGTGGTGATGCTATTACATTGCTCATTCCTTACTAATTTATAGATTACTTCTAAACTATAAATTCTGTATAGAATGCCATTGTACTGTATGAATGTGGTTACTACTGTATATATGATTAAAAAAAATTAGTAAAGTAATTTTACTGAAACCAAATATCTTTGCGACAATGTACTGTACTGTATATTATAATTGCATAGAGTTTGAAAGGTTTTAAATGTATTGATTGCATAATTGAGTCTACAATGACTGACAGAATTAGAATACAAAGAACCAATGAAAATGAATATCATAAATGATAAAATCGTTATAAAGTGAAGCATTTCTTAAATGAGACCGTCGATGAAGACAATAGGGATGAGAAAACTGGAGACAATGAGATTAACTTTCTAAAAGATGCGTTCATATCATCATAAGTGGACATCTATTCAACAGATTCTGATTCTACTGACAAACGAGTAGTCATTTGACACCAGAATAATTGTTTATTGTCAACACCTCTACTGTACAGTCGACTCGTTTTGCAAACACTTTATTCACTATTCAGACGTGAATTCATTGAAACTTACGGCTATTGACAGTGTTTTTCAGTAAAAACAGTGAAACACATCCAATGTATTGATTAATCATTGATTATATTATGATAATAACTCCACATATTTACCATCAATTGAATCAAACAACACATGATTAGATGGTTGGATCAGATGACTAATTTATATATACATTTATGATAGAGTGATTGTGTGTGAAGTGAGCTTGTTGCATTTGTCAATTAAACTGCATTTGACATACAGTCTATTACTCACGCTTGTGAGTGACAAATCTCTGATTATCTCATCTGAATTACAAGATCTTAAGGGCTTCACCAGTGATGGGATCATCGACTGGTGTGACTCGAGGTCAGCTGAGACCACACTTTTCGGGCCGAAGTCCACCATTTGTTTTGGCGGCTCTATGTGTGGGCTTAGGAATACTTGGCGTCAGTTATTGGAGTCTTTCGCAAGAATACAACCAATTGGAGGAACAGCTGAAGAAGATTCTCATCAGAAAAGACTCGATTGAAAACGACTTGACTTTCATTCAGAAACAGCTTAATGTCAGGGAAGAGGAGTTCAGTAGAGCTCAGCAAACGCTGCAGAAGAAGGAACAGGACTTGACTTCAGCCAAGACTGACATCAAGTCTAAAGCCGAAGAACTTCACGCAATGCTTACTAGAATTGAATCCCTCAAAGACAGCGATGTATTCATTTGATTTTCATTGCATTTGCTTTTATTCATTGAATTGAAATTAATTTGTTGTCATATTTCAGGACAAATGTAATGAGGAATTGAACAAAAAGACCAACGAATTGGCGGACACTTTGACTAAACTTAAAGAAATTCAACAAAAAGATGATTCAAAAGACACCAACGAATCGCTGAACCAATTAAAAGAGGAAAACAAACGATTAGAAACACAATTAGAAGTCTTGAGGAAAGAGTTGTCGGATAGGAATGCAACGAATATTAGCCATCAAAATGACACCAATTTTGTCACTTCTGCTGCATTTGACAAACAATTTCCAAACAATGATATCAACGCTATTGGCATCGAATCAAACAAATCAAACCCCAGTTTAAATAAAACGGAAACTGTTGGCAACAAAATAGAAACAGATTCTGAACCCAAACCCATTGTGGCCGACAATGGCAACGATAGGCCAGAAGAAGCAGTGGTGTCACAACCCCTCAAAGACAATCAATTGCTAAGTAATGCTTTGCCTGAAGAGGACCGCAAAGAGGAGGGTATCGTCGAAGCTAATGATAATGAAATGGGAGACCCACTGAAAGCCGATGTACCAAATGATCTCAACAAATATTCTGAAGATAAACAGAATATCTAAGACTATGGCATAAATTTATATCATTTGAAAGCGTTGTTTAGTTTTTATAAGTATTGAAACCATCATAAGTCGAGTTGGCATCACTTTTGCAAAACATTTTATAATTAGTGTTTCCAACGAGTCATTTGTTCCTCTTTTTATAATTTATAATATTTATAAGAATTAATGTATAATTGTATTGATATTTATTTGAAATAAACATAATTATACTGTAATTACAATTATTGTATATAAATTAACTTGAAATGTTAGTATAAGTTGTAATGTTATACTAAAAATAATTAAAAATACAGTAATGATAAACGGTATGATTGCAGTCATTACTAACGAGTTATTTATATTAAACGAATCATAATATTATATAATATAATATATTATTTATATAATATTATATGAAATTTATGAAACAAACGTTCAATGGATTGACGAACTCTGGAAAATGGGCTCGTTTTGGACTCCACTTGTGGTCAATTGTCAATTGATTTTACATTAAGTATATTACGATTAAAGGTTTTATACAATTAAATATCAAATAATCTTCAAATGTATACAAATTTCAATAAAAAGAGATCTCATATTAATTAATTATAATTATAATTATCAACAAAATTGTTAATTTAAGTAAATTTCATTACAATATAAACAATGGTATTTAGGAAAACTAAAATTAACTGAAATTCATTGATAATAATGAATTGACACCAGTTTTGATATAAATACAACCAATGGCTACTCATTCTTCGAGTTCTGATTCGCTTTCATTAAAGCCGGATAAGTCGACGTCTCGGAGCAGTTGTTTGCAGAGCGCGTACTCCAGGAGCGCCAGATAACAGAATACATACTGATCGGGCACTTGTATGCTGTACGCCCTTTCCCGACGTATCTTCTCGACGGTACGCTTTATGTCTATTCTTCCGGTCGTCTCCAACCGTTGAATACTTATATCCAGTGTTATGAACGTCCCTAACATATAAAGTGTTATACATTAAAGTTATTAAACTAATCATTAGTTTGATTAGTAATCACACGATATACCGATTCTATTATCATCAAAATACGGTATTAGGTTTGAACATATTTTTGTTTACAAACGAATCAACTAATTAGTAGTTACTGTAAATATGTTTTATTAATTGAGACAGCAACATTAATGTGCATTCTCCATCTGCAGTTCTATAATATTTATAAATGTATTCATCAAAATGAAATGCTCTATAACACCTTTAATCATTAAAAATGTACAAACCCTGCGGGTCTTGCAAGAATGGAACAAGATAATTTAGAACTATGATCAGTATTAATTTAATTACAGTTTATAATAGATAAATCTAAGCTGGCAATTTGTACTAGTACACAGTAGTAGATTTTGTAAATGTGATTGATATTTTCTAACAATATTTAAATGTTCTATCAGCCTATTTCAATCAGTTATACGGTACAACAATTATTCTTTATACCACCGATATATATAAAATTAAAATTCTAAACAAACTTTGATATCAGAATAAACAAAGTAGGGAAATTATTTTGATTCATTAAATATTACACGGTATATTCTAAACTTTATAATTGTTAATTATTATTTAATTCAGTAATCCTACACTTACAAGTTAGCAAAAGTATCAAACTGTATGATATTATCATATTATCAATACTATTATAGGATAACGTAAGTTAGATCTTGTATTCATGTTATCGAAGCTTAAACCTAATTCATTCAATTATTCTAAATTGTAAATCATCATAAGTACTACCGTGTTACTATACAGTACCACATTATACCATATATTATAATGATATTTTGTTGCCGATAATTAATTAGCGGTAATTGTCAAATGATGCTCAATAATAGAAGTTTACAATAGAAATACGGTAATAGTGAAATATAGTGATGTTTGCATTACCTGTTCTGCCAATACCGGCGCTGCAATGGACAACGATGGGCGGCCCTAATATGTGGCCGTTCCATAGAGAGCCCATTGATTTGGTTGCATTCGATTGATATTCCCTCACTTTGTCCCTGAAGTCTAACATTGCAATCGCTGATAGGGGAACACCTATCGCACCAATCAATAATACATTCATTTAATCACTGTTTAGAGTTATCTGAATTTAAATACAAACCATAGTCAGGCCAACTCGTGAACTGCAAGTGACTTATTTCCCGAGTAATACCTGTCTATAAATTTATAAAAATTTCAGTTTAAATTAAAAACAATAATAAACCAATTATTAGTAATCATGTCTTACTTTGGTGTCATTCACTACAAGTGAAGTAATGATCCAATCCTTGTGCTCTTCGACCCCATTGTTATGGACATTGAATTGTCCGAAATCACAACTCGTCTCCTCATTGAGAGGCCAATACTGTCCACACTTAGTACACCGTCTTTCCATAGTTTTGGTGGTCATAACAATAACACAGCAATTGTTTTCCCAAACACAACGCCAAAAGTCATTAAAAGTTTTTGGCAATGGACCTTCACATTGAACACAGCAAAGAAAACGCTTAATTATATGACACTAAACGAAATGACTAGTAATTGTAAATACCTTGCGTTGAAATAAATGCGTTTCTCTGTTTATATCCATTAACATAATTGCCATTAATATAGTCAGAGTTGGGGTCGTCGTCAATGAGGGACAGTTTGACTCGTGTCCTGTCATAACAGGGAACGTCTGTATACCTGTTCTTACTTTGATTGGCTCGCAGTCTCGACACTTCAAAAGTTCCGTCCGCTCCGCGAAATTTGATTGCATTGTATTCGTCCTGAAGACCTTTCTTTCCCATGTCTTTCAAGTGTTGGATGAACTCCTCGACAGACATCCCGCCCTCGAAATCCTCTTCTGGGTCTTCAAGTATTGGTTCACTAGAGTTGGAGTTGTTGTACGACTCGATCCCTCTCTCGGACTCCATGTGATTGATGGGCACAGATATGATTGGTTTAGATTTGTTTGATTTTGATGTCAAGTTGCGATCGTTTGCAG